TGGTTAGCAAGAAGGCAAATGTAAACCCAATGAACTAAAAATAAAGAAAAGTATCTTAGAAAAGAAAAATACCACCCCAAAAGATGCCTTTGTCCTCCCTAGATGGTTCGGTCTCGTGTTTGAGAATTATGAGTCAAGATTCAAGATTAGGTACGCAATAGTCAAGGATCCATGTCGCTCATGCAAGATATGTAGAAGGCTTGAAAAATGATGAAGCTCACATGGATGTAGCAAAAACTCACTATAAGTGTCAAATCGACTATAGAAAGCAACTACCAACATGCCACAAACAAGTAGAATCTGGTTTCATGATCCCCCTAGTTCTTAGACATGTTACCTTAGCATACATATATCCAAGAGTCAACCAAGCATATTCTCAAACCGTGCATACTCCTACCACTTAGGAAGATATTCATTCAAAAGCAAAAATCGGTTGTATGTAGTCTAATTCAAAAGAAAAACAAAAAGTGACAAATAAAGCCTCAAAACATACTACAAACCAAAATCAAGAAGAAAGAAAAATAAAAGAAAAGAAAAGAGAAAAAGAAAAACATAGATAGAGGAAGAGTAGGAAAATAAAGAAAGGAACGAAAATGCAAGTATAACACATAATTCCCAATCATCAAACAAGTGATCAATTGACAACATCTCCAATGATCCCAAACACTCTAGGTGTTACAAGCATCCATCCTCGAACCATTCAACTTCTCCTAAAACTAATCCTAAACTATGCATCCAAGAAAATAAAAGGAATAAAAGAAAGAAAATAAGAAGGATCTCACCGAGCTTCCAAGTAATGCTAAAATAGGAAGGTGAAGAACCAACCACCTCATGAAGCTCCAAGAAACAAACCATTATCATCAAAGCCATGTGAGAACAAAAATAGAAAATAGAACTATAGACAAAGAAAACGGTTAGTAACTTCAAAACAAAATAAAAGAAAGAAAAGTGAAAAGGAAAGAAACTAATTAGAAAAAATAAGCTAAACTAAGCTATCAAGAAAAGAGGAAAAGTAAACTAATAAGAAATAAACTACAAAGAAAATAAGCTAAAGGAAACTACTTATTAATCTAGCAACTAACACTAAGCTACAAATTTTGGATTCAATAGGATTTGGATTCAAGGGTTTTGGATATGTGGGAGCATTAACATGCATCATCATCAAGGAAAAATCATCACAACAACAAGATCAGGAATGAGAGAAATAGGCAAGAAAAACAAACACCATCAAAGAGAGATTAAGATAGAGACCATCATACAAAGAGGCGAAAGAAAACAAGGTAAGCTTCAACAACAAATTAGCCACCAAGACAAACCCCTAAAAAATTTAAGTTCCCCCAAGCTAATCATAGATACATCTCAACATCCCATCAATACAAAGCAAGCATACATAAGATAAGGAAAGGAGGCAAAAGACACAAAAATGAGGGAACTAGCTACCACTATCACTCGGCCCGGAGCCATCTTTGCCATCCCCATCATAGGAAAACCCGGATGGGGGACCATAAGGATCCCGTCCCCCGGTGTAACTGGGTGGCCAACCATAGTTCCCCCTAAAGTTATCTTGTTGAAAAGGGGCTAGGGGAGTGAATTTCTCGGGCAAGGCGAGCGGTAGTGGGTGCTCGAGGTGCACATAGGGGTAGTTTGGATCACCCCTTTAGTCGCTCCCACCGGGAACACGGTAATCATAGTTACCGTGCTCATCGGGGAATGAGCGAGTGTGTTGGACCTCGAGGGTCCTTGCCAATATGGGTACGTAGGTACCCCATTACCCCCAAAATATGGTATAGGACCATGTTGGGGTGGAAAGTAAGGGTAGTTAACCGGGGGAGTGATGTCTCCCCGGTTAACACCCGCATCATATAATTGTTGTTGTTGGAGAAACATACCTTGTTGCATCTCCGAAATTCCCCTCATTTGAGAGTAGAGGGCCTCAAAGTCTTGATCGCACATACCCTCCAACCGGATTTTCATGCCCTTTATTTGAGCACTAAGGGCATCCAAGTCGGAGCTAGTATATCGGTGTTGTTGTTCTTGATGTTGATGTTGTTGTTGATGTTGTTGTTGTTGCGGTGGCTCTTCTTCTTCATTTATCTCTTCATTATTATCATAGTAGGGAGGGAGGTGACTTTTAGGCACATGCCAAATATTAGGCACATTCTCACGATGGAGAGAATTCAAGGAGGGATTAGGGAGATAGCACCAATGCTTTTTATCCCTAAGCCAATCAAACACCTCGTCATCATTGTTCTTTGCTAAAAACTGAATTTGTTTCAATTGCTTGATGTCGAGGTAGAGAGAATCAACATCTCCCACCGGAGTTCAAGACAGAAAATAGTGACCAAGCTCAAGGTTGGTCACTAGCCTTGTGACCATGCTACCACATGGAATCTCGCCAGATTCCCTATCTTGCAATCCTTGGCGATGCGTCATAAAGGTGTACCCTAAATTTAAGCGACCACGATACTTCTCACGAGTAGCCACCCAAAGAATCCAAAGCTCTAACTGACTCATCTTTCCCAACTCTTGCTTCGGGAATACCGATTACCCCAAAAGCCGATGGAGAACTCGGAGACATGGTTGGTACACCTTACTAATCTTAGCATACCGGGTCACAAAGTCACGACACTCTGAAATGTCATCCCACCATGAGTTTTGATCATACTCATTATTGAAAAAGAGCTCGGGATCCAAAATATCCAAATTCAGATCAAAGTCAAGAGCCGCATTGAACTCAAGAGATTGATCAAAATGGATGTTGAAGAGTTGAAATCGAACTCGGTAGTAACCTTCCTCAACTACAACAAGATCAGACGTAGCCAAAAAATCCAAAGTAGGTTGAACATAAGTACGGATGCTACGGCTCACGAATGATCCCATACGAAGGTTGTTGAGAAATTCCCTTAGATCTTCATCAATTCCCAACTTGATCATATCCGGTTGGAAGTAATGTCGGGAAGGTTTAAGGGAACGGTTATCTTTTAGTTTGGTGAACCTTTCTTTTTGTATTGGGTAGATGATTCGTAATTTGAGAATAGGGTAGGTTGGCGAGGTTGTAAGGTAGAGGGGGTAGGAGTAGGTTTTTCAATGGTTACTTTGGTCTTTTGTTTCTTGAAAGACTTTTTATGTGTTTAGACATGGTGATCTCCTGAAGATATTAGCTCAAAAATCTGATCACAATACACCACAAAAAACACCAACCAACACTTCAAGATGTCTCAATCACACTCCTTTACCAACACCGCCAATCAACAACTCACTACCAAAATAAAAAAATCTCAAATTTACACAATCACCACCAATTCAAATAAATAATTGATTTCCAACCAATCACCAATCACAATGAAACCAATAACCAATGCTCAACGAACCAATATCATACTACCATACTACCAAAACTTCAACTTCACCAATTCTCAACAAACATGCTCAAATAAGCTACAAAAACATCAAACAACACAATGTGAGGCAATAATAATCAACAAATTAAACAACATAAATAATCATCCAAAATTCAACATCAATTAACAAAATCACCAAAATTCATACTACTACTATTCACAACCATGAACAATCTAATACTTGCAACTATATGATATAATAATGCAATTAAGAGTAAAGAAGATGATTATACCATACAAGGAGCAAGATTGAACAAGATTTGGCCACCAATTCCCTCAAGAACAAAAAACCCCAATTTTGCTTCAACAATAGAGGAGAGAGATTGGATATTGTTATGGATGAAAGTAGTGAATTCTTTGTTGAGTATGATGAAAATGTAGGAGGATTTGATGATTTTTGAATGAAATTTGGTTGATTATTTGATGAAATTTTGATGGGAGTGAGATAGCGTATGTGCGGTTGTGTGATGGAGTAGAGGATGCGTTCAAGTGTTGATAGGGAAAAGGTGAAAATGAGGAAAATAAAGGAAAAGAAGAAAATAAAGGCCGGGCTGCAAGAGTGTGCGGCCGCGCGACCTGGCAGCGCGCCCGTGCTTATGCATGGTGCGCCCACGCCAACCTAATTTCTCTTTTTCTTCTGTTTTTACTTCCTCAGTGCTTTTATTTGTGGGCTCTTCGTTAAATATCATCACGGAGCTATTAAACCCAACGAAATATGGAAATTTCCATACATGATTATTGTGGGTTCAACATCCCTAAAATAATGATAGCAACACAATGAACTCACCAAGTTCAAAATTTCTTCAAATTTTAGCACAATTTCCCTATCTTACCTCACTAACATTTTTTTACCCCTTTTACCTTAAAATTCGATAAAATCGAATATATATCACATCAAAACAGCAAAACACCTATCCATTGCTCGTGCTCATTTGAATTAATCCATTTCCATGAGTTAACCATATAAATCAAAAAGAAAAACAAGTGAAGAAAAGAAAATAAAAGAAAGAAAATTAAGAAAATAGAAATCAAAAGAAAAGGTTAGAAATCTTCGGGTTGCCTCCCGGGAAGCACTTGCTTACGATCCTAAGCTCGACCCTTCCTCCAAATCATGGAGGATAAAAGAACACCATCTTATCCAAGGTAGCGGATAGAACAACTTCTCCTTCATTTTTAAGCAACCTCTCGTTGTTGCTTAATAAGACTTCACTTGCTTGAACTTTAAAAATAACCTTCTCATTTTGAACTTCAATCTCATTCTCTTCTTCCTTAAAGCTCTTGCTTTCTTTGCGACCTTGTTCTTTTTGTAGACGATTTCACACCATCTACATCCATGGAATCATCCTCCTCCTCTTGAGGACAAAGCTCAAACCAATGCGGAATTTTAATTACCTCTTCGACCATATCCTTTGAAAACTCCTTTTTCTCTTCACTAACTTTCATTCAATCAAAACTCACAAGTACATCATCAAAAATCTCATGAACATCGTTAGTTGAAGAATTAATCACACAAACATTATCAATGGAGCGAGGGGAATTAACACATATTATTCCTTTCATAAGGGACAAGGACTCATGCATTGGTTTTAGCTCAAAACTTTACTCATTTTTACCAACTCTCAAAGTAATACGACCTCCCTTAACATCTATCAAAGCTCCCGAAGTAGCTAAAAAGGGTCTCCCTAAAATGATAGGAATATGATCATCTTCCGCAATCTCTAACACAATGAAATCAACGGGGATAGTAAAATCTCCTATCTCAAGGGGGACATCCTCAACTCTACCTTTGGGGAACTTCAATTGAAGGTTCAAGTTGGTTGGAAGGAGCTCACCTATCTTAAGTCTCTTGAAGACGGAATAAGGCATGATGCTAACACTAGCACCAAGATCAAAAAGGGCATTTTGGAATAATTTTCCTTTAATATTGCAAGGGATGGAGAAATTTCCGGGATCTTTCATATTTGGGGGCAAGTCATTATGGATAAAGCCACTACAACACTCCCCCAAACTCACTGGTTCCACCATATTGCAATCTCTCTTACCGCTCAAAATTTCCTTAAGAAACTTAGAATAGTTAGACATTTGTTCCAAGACTTCGGTGAAAGGAATAGAAAGATGAATTTTCTTAAGAATCTCGATAAATTCTCCAGATTGTTCATCCCACTTGTGCCTATTGAGCTTTTTGGGGTAAGGAAGTTTGGGTTTGTAAACTTCTTTTTCTTTCTCTTTCACCTTCCCAACTTGTTCCTTAACAACTTACTCAACTAAAGGGCTCTCATCTCTATCATTCTCAATTAGACTCTCTTTCGCATCACTCTTCTTAGACACCTCACTCTCAAGGACCCTACCACTCCTAGTGGTAATAGAACAAACCGGTTCCTTAGGATTAATTCCTTGTGAAGGTAAAGAAGAAAGGGTGTCATGCTCTTTCGAGGTGTTGGCTAGTTGAATGACTTGGGTCTCAAGCATCTTACCATGATTTAACAAATCATGAAACATTTTGCTACTAGATGATATGTAATCATTCAATTTCTTGACTTGATCTACCATGACATTCTCTAGCCTACTCATAGAATGAGATAGTTGATCGTAGGAATTATCACCTTGCCCTTGGGTCTTTGGAGTAATTCGGGTGAGGGACCTTTTAGGGCATTGTTTTGAAAATTTCCCCCACTTTGGTTACTCCAATTACCCATAACATTGGTTATGATTTTGGACGAAATTTTGATTATAGTTACCATAACATTGGTTATGATCCCCATATACTTGGCCTTGACTTTGATCATTATAACCATGGTTGTCAAAGTTACCACGAAAACCTTCGTTCTTATAATTGTTCCCTTGATTATAATTATCAAAGTTTCTTTGGTGATGATAATTCCTATTCCCATCATAGTCATCGTATCCATCACAAAAAGCATTTGGGCAAATGGAAGCATCATGATCACTCTTTCCACATAAATCAAAAACCAAGCATTCTCTATTCATGCAACAAGAAGCGAAAAGAGGGTTAGAGTAAGAAGATGTACCTTTTCCCGAGAATTGGGAAGGAAAAGTTTGAGCTTGTGAAGAAGCATTCTCAAGCTTAGCCTTGATAGAAACCACCTCTTTCCCTAAGTCTGAAAGTAGTGTGGACAAATTGTTGATGGCGTTGAGTTAATCAATTGAGCCATTTTTTCTTGTCGACTCTATCTCAACTTCATGCCAATCCATGTAGTTCTTCACCACATCATCTATCACATCCACAACCTCTTCCACCGTCTTGTTCATGATTGGGCCTCCAGCTCCGGCATCAAGACCTGACCTCCCTTGAGGACTCAAACCACCATAAAATATTTGAATGATTTGGTAAGTGGGGATTCCATGGTGAGGACACTCTCTTTGATAATCCTTATACCTCTCCCATGCTTCATAGGGGCTTTCACTAGTCCTTTGCTTGAACTTTGAATCATGATCTAATCTCCGCTGTTTTCGTCCGAGGGAAGAAACGGGAAAGAAATTCCTTGGTGACTTCATCCCAAGTTCTCAAAGAATTAGGCGTCACTTCCTTCTCTAGCCACTCTTGAGCTCTTCCAATTAGTGAGAAAGGAAATAGCTTGAGTCTTATAAATTCTTGCGCTACACCACTCACCTTAATCGTGTTACAATATTTTTCGAACTACTTAAGATGATTGAGTGGAATTTCATTTGTTCCTCCACTATATTGCCGCCTTTCAATAAAAGTTATCATTGTCGGCTTGATTTTAAAATCACTATTTGGGATTAATAATTGAGCAATCCCACTCTCATACTTGTATGCACCCGGAGTACCCAATTCCTTCAATGTAACCCTTGGGACTTCTCCCATGTTAACTTGCACACACAAACTCAAAGGAAAATATTAATAACACGGCTACAAATGTAGCCAAAAAAGAAAAATCTTTTTGTATTTTCGAAATTTTAGTAAAATAGACTCAACAACAATAGCAAACAACTACGCCATTCCCCGACAATGGCACCATTTTAATCAAGGGTTGAGACTAGGTTGTTGGACTAATCTTCCCTCGGCCAAACAAAATTTGTAATCTCTTAACACACCCTTAATTATAACTAGCATAGGAGTAAGTCGAGGGTCGAACAACTAGGAATGGGAGGTGAATGCTAATGCTAAAGCTAATCTATCAAAAAGAATTTGAAATCTGAAAGATCTGGTTACTATTTGGCAGAATTTGAAATCTGTCAAAAAGAATCTGAAAGATCTGAACACTAAGTATTTTGCTAATGTTGATGAGAAAGTGGATGTGGCTCTTGCCACTTTGAAAGCCATTCAGGACCAGCTTGCTGTAGATTATTCTAATTCTGACCTTCATGTTAAAGAGGTTGAAGCTGTTTCTATGGTGAAGAATTAGATGAATATCCAAGAGTCCATTTATAAGCAGAAATCTATGGTTGATTGGATTAAGCTAGGGGATTCAAATTCTCACTACTTCTTTTCTGTTATGAAGCACAGGCAAGGTAGAAATAGAATTGATTCTATCTTTACTGAAGATGATTTCCATTTGAAAGATCCTGATCTTATTGAAAATGAGATTGTGGGATTCTATAAAGGGCTCCTTGGTTCTAGTGCTAGCTCTCTCCCTGCTGTTTATTTAGCCACTTTTAGGATAGGTTCTCAACTCAGCTCTTGTTCTATTGATATTTTGTCTTCTGTGGTTACTACTTCTAAGATTGATAGTGCTCTAGCTCAGATTGGTGATGATAAGGCGCCGGGAATCGATGGTTTTAATGCTATTTTCTTCAAAAAGGCTTGGCCTATGATCAAAACTGATATCTATACTGCTATCTTCTCTTTCTTTGAGACTAGTGTCATTGCTAAGTAGTGGAATTGTACGACAATCACCTTAGTGCCTAAGGTTCAGCATCCTTCTTATGTTAGAGAGTTTAGGCCTATTGCTTGTTGTACCATGTTGTACAAGCTGATCTCCAAAGTTCTCACAAACAGGATTTCTAAAGTGGTGGGGACTGTTATTAATGATGCTCAAGCTGGGTTTATCCCGGGTAAGCACATTGGTGACAATATTCGTTTGGCTACTGAATTGATCAAAGGCTACTCTCATAAGTTTGTTTCTCCTAGATGCATGATCAAGATTGACTTGAGAAAGGCATATGACTCTGTTGAATGGCCTTTTCTGCAGACTGTTCTAGAAGAGCTTGGTTTCCCTCATTCTGTTGTGAAATGGATTATGACTTATGTCTGCTCTGTCTCTTATTCTGTGATGGTTAATGGCTTTTCTGCTAAACCTTTTTCAGCAAAAAAAGGCCTTAGGCAAGGAGATCATATGTCTCCTTTTCTTTTTGCTCTTTGTATGGAGTACCTCTCTAGGTGCCTTAAGGAAATAACTGGGAATCCTAATTTCAATTTTCATCCTAGATGTGAGAAGTTAGGTATTACCCATATGATGTTTGCTGATGATCTTCTCCTCTTCTCTAGGGCTGATTCCACCTCTATTTAGCTTCTCTTACAGGCTTTCCAGAAATTTTCTTGTGCTTCTGGTCTGGTAGCTAATTTAAGTAAGAGTGAGGTTTATTTTGGAGGTATCCCTGATTCTGATAAAGATCAGCTGCAAACTGTTCTTGGTATGAGTAGAGGTAGTTTGCCTTTTAAATATCTTGGGGTGCCCTTGTCTTCTAAAAAGCTTACTATTGCTTAGTGTAGGCCTTTGGTTGAAAGGGTTACTGCTAGGATTGATTGCTGGACTTCTAGACACTTGTCTTATGCTGGCAGGTTACAGCTTATCAAAAGTGTTCTCTTTGGTATTCAGGCTTATTGGGCTTAGATTTTCATTCTTCCTAAGAAGATTCTTAGGAAAATTGAAGCCAAGTTCAGGGTTTTCCTTTGGACTGGGAAGAACACTTATGCAAAAAAGGTCCCTGTCTCCTGGCATCATATGACTCTTCCTAAGGTTTTTGGTGGCTGGAATATTACCTCTCTCGGCGATTGGAATAAAGCCGCTATTTGCAAGATTCTGTGGGATCTTGCTCACAAATCTTACAATATGTGGGTGAAATGGGTGCATACCTATTATTTCAACAATAGGAATATTTGGACTGCCACTATTCCCAAGAAATGCTCATGGGTTTTGAAGAAAATCTTGACTTACAGAGATATTATTGATGATATTGGTGGCTGGTCCTCTATTTGGAAAAATGGTAAAATGAGTATTGCTAAACTATATGCCCGGATTCGACCTCAGGCTCCTAAAGTAGGGTGGAAAAGAATTATTTGCAACAACCAATCTACTCCTAAGAGTATTTTCATTACTTGGTTAGCTTTGCTTGACAAACTTGCCACTAAGGACAGAATTGTTAAGTGGAATACAAGTTGTGATCCTATTTGCTTTTTCTGCCAGAATACTTGTGAATCTGTCTCTCACTTGTTCTTCTGCTGCCCTTACTCTAAGACTATTTGGGAACAGATTTTGAAGCTTCTTGATGTTAAAAAAGCAGTTCAACCTTTTCACAATGAATTGCAGGAAATCTAGCAGCAAGGGTAGAGTATACTCTATGTGTTTTGCTGAGGCTATTTACAGTATATGGCTGCAGAGGAATAGTTTGATGTTTACGGGTGACTGTAAACCTGAAGATACTGTTTTTCATGACATTATCTATCATGTTGCTATTAGGTGTACATGAACAGACAGAAAGCTGCTTTTAATTCATTAATTTGGTGTTGCAGTTGTCTGGTGTTTTTGTGTGTTCTGGTTGGGTGGCAGCTGGGCAGCAGCCTGCTTTGATTGGTTTTGGCTGTTGTTGGGCTACTGTTGCTGCTCTATTGTGTATTCTGTGTTGCTGTTGTTTCTTGTTGCTGTTGTTTCTTGTTTCAGCTGCGTCTGCACTCTGTGTTGCTATTTGCTGCTTCTGCATTCTGTGTTGTTGTTTGCTGCTTCAGCAGTCTGTGTTGTTGTTTGCTGCTTCTGCATCCTGTATGCTGTCTGCTGATCTGTTGTAATTTCTGTTGCTGTCTTGTTGCAGCTCTGATTCTGTTCTGGTGCTGGTGTTGTGTTGCTGTTCAGTCTGTGTACTGTTCTGGTTGCTGCTGCAGTTTTCTGTTTCTGTTTTGAAGCTGCTGTTTTTGTTGTTGTTGCAGTTTGTTGCTGCCTTTGGTCTGGTGTTGTGTTCAGGGTGGCTGCTAGTGTTTCTGCTCTGGTGGTCTGCTAGTGCTATTGTTCTGAGCTTTGGTCACTGTTGTTTTGGCAGCTGGTTCAGGGGTTTGGGTCTGCTGCTGCCTTGTTGCTGACCCTGAATTTTGCTTGTAGATGCCTTGAGTCTAATAGAAAACCTTTGTTTAGGCTTTTGTTGTTTTGTTGGTTAGTTTGCAGGTCTGTCTACTTCTGGTTGTTTTTTTGATGGTTTTTTTGGGTTGGTTGCCTTGTAGTTTACTGCTAGTGTTGTTGTCTGGTCCTGGTTTCCAGAACCCTTTCTAGAAGGTGGCTGGAAATCTGAGTCTAGTTTTTTCTAGGCCCTTCCTAGAACCCTTCCTAGATGGTGGCTAGGTTGGATCTAGAACTGGTTTTTGGGGGTTGGCCTGTTTTTCAGGTCTTGTGGTGTTCTGGTGGTAGTTATAACTTAGCTCTTGTAAGTTGTAACTTTCTCTCTTTGGTAATAAAATCTTATTTACCAAACCAAAAAAAAAAAAAAAAATCTAATCTATCTCGAAGTAGTGAAGTAAGGTGTGTATATTCTAAATCAATCAAGCCATAGAAATGAAATCAAATATATCAAACACTAGGGTTTAGGATCGACATATACTTGCAATGAATTCAACTAATTGGGATTGGAGATGACTAAGTCGAGTGTTGCGAGGGAAAATCAATTAAGCAATCAAGAGAGTATGGTAGGCTAATCTTCTAGAGGTCAAACTAGTGCCAACTACGAGAGACTCTAGCTAGGAACTTCACAAACCAACTCAATCGACAAATGCGAGCCACAAATCAATTGTCCGTATCAATGTGATCTTACAATGTAATCTAGTGCGAGTATTTAGGTTGATCACTCCTAAATTAAACACATACATCCACATAATCAATCAACCAATTTAATCACAACATCAACTTCATCAATTTCCCCCAATTAGCATAAATCCATTACTCATATATGCTTCACCATTCCCCTAGAAAGAAAACTACTCACAATTCATGGAAATCAATATCAAAACTAAGCTAAACAACAAATTCATCATCATCATCATATTAATCAAGATAAAATAAATCAACTTGAATAATTAACAAAGTAATTGAAATTAAAAACTAAAGATTGCAATAAAGTAAAGAAATCCTTACAAACTTGCTTCAAATCAATGGAGAAAACACTTAGAATCATCAATCTTCAATCATTAATCAAGAACTTCTACAAACTATAGTTTTTCTCTCTACAAAATCTAACCTAATTCTATTCTAATTCTAAAAAAAAACTCTCTCTAATTCTCCCTCTCTAAAAATAGAAGGAAAATCTATATATAGTAAAATTAACAAAGAAAAATTAGTTAGATCGTCCAAAATAGACCCGTACAGGCGCGACAAACTACAAGGGGGAGAGCGGCCGCACAAGACTGGGTACGAAACAGAGACCTAAAGAGGTGCGTCCGCGCCCAAGAGAGGTGCGCCCACACCCGAGAGAGGTGCGCCCGCGCCACCAGGCCGCACAGCCGCGCCATAGTTGCGTGCGCCCGCGCTTGGGAACAGGGTAGCCCCTTTCGCCATCAATTCGATGCTCCTCGTGTGTTCCACTCGATGCTCTTGATAAACACGAGACATGGCAGTTTTAAAACTCCAAGATTGTGTGTTTAACACGAGAATTCGTTCCCGCACGACTTGAATGCACGACCTAAGGTCTAAAGGAACTTGCACTTCTCTATGCTTAAGCTTCAAATGGAGAACATTAGGCATCCTAATTAATGCCAAACTTGTGAAGGGGCCTCGGGAATCTTTGGATAGCGACCATAACCTGAAAAATGAAAGAAAACAAGCAAATAAAAGAGAAAATAGCAAAATAAACCAAGAAATGCATAAAAATAGAAATTCAACTAATAAAATGCAAACTAAAGAAATAAAGAGTAAAATTAAGGAAAAATTAAAGAAAAGAGCTATAAAATAGCATTAAATCCACCCTAAAGAGAACCAAATGAGTGATATAATTGACACTCATCAATAGACTTGATACTTTATGACTTGAAACCGAACTTGTAATCAACTTGATCATAACCGAAAACCGATTAACTCGACTTGATTATGATCCGAACCCGATTATTATCCGACTTGTTTTGAACCTGAAATTGATTATAACTTGTTATCGACCCAAATAGATATTGACCGACAACCGATTTGACCTGACCTGTTAATAACCTGAACCCGAAATAATACTCGACTTAATTAAGTTTTTAATAATAAACACCTAACATAACTTACTACTTACCTGAATCATAGTAATCTGCTTAGTGACATGTAATCAAATTTTACCCAGGTCGTTAAATTAACTTATATTGACCCGCGTTGATATTATTTTAACTTAAAGTGGACATGGATTTCAATTTTGATTAAAAGTTAATTTGAACATGTTATTAAATTTATCGTTAATAGAAATAGCGGAACTTTACACTTTTATTTTAATCTACTTACTTCTATTTTGTATTATACTTTTGAAAATGAAATTGTACTTGTACTAGTACTAAAAATATAATTATGTTTTCATACAATAATTACACTAGCTAGTAGCCTAATATTACATGTCTTTGATGTGAAGTGTGGACTTATGGTTAATAGATATATATACAACATAATAACATATGTTACAAATTTTCAAACAAGTACTTTTTTTTTTTTTT